AATTCATGATCGACAATGACAGATGGAAACACACCCATGTGATCAGTGGGAGAACTTTATATGTATCATGCATGGGCGAGTTTACTTAGCCTTTTATAGATACAGAACAAACTTGCTTAATTAGACCTGCTTTCTGATTTAGCTAAACTTTTCCCAGCCCAGTGAAGCACCCCAAGTTCTCTTTCAGGTAATTGTCAACAACACAGCATAATTATCTTCATGAAGCACATTATTATTGTAGATCACACAGGGAGAAAAGGGTAAGATATTTAACTGCAACAGAGTTTGACTATATTCTGCGCAGTGAAGTCATTTTCAAGATCCACCATTTCTTACTTTTCAGTCAGGTCAAGTTTCTAAACTTTTTAAGTCTCCGGCTAATTAAAAGAAAATAGGATTTCACCAAGTCTCCTATCTACCTACTCCAGGACTTCTGTGAGGATCAAATAAGATGAGGCATGGGAAAACGCTTCACAGACATTTGGTTACTGTGTAAAATGTTTGCACCTGGCTATAAAGCAAATAGTGTTCCTGGGCCGAAGCAACTGCAAGGAGGCTAGTTGTGGCTAGGGAGAAGAAGCCGGGCATTGCTTGGTGATGTCATTACTCAGGTGGAAGGAAGGACACTTAGCATAATTGGCCTTTTATATGCTCTTTTCCCCATTTTTATTTTGGCTACTAAAAATATTACTTACTAGATAAGACCAGTAATGGCTTCACTTGTTGCCTTCAGTAAAAATAAGGAGCAAATGGTGTCCACCTGGGAACTAGATGTTTGAAACAAGGATGTATTGTGCATTGAAGATAAAATTTGCACTTTATCATACCTAGATCAAAGGCAAGTTACTGAAATATAGTGTTTTTACTCTTCGTCTGCAATAATGAAGTCTGCTTGCATCTCTAGGTATTCTGTGGTTGATATTTTATCACTGTACTTGTTTTCCTCTCAATCCACTGCATGTGAATTCTTGCTTCACAGTGTAATATTGGCAATGTGCCTTGAGGTTCAATTTAGTAAATATTTATTACCCTTGCAGTTCAATTCAATAAGTATTTATGGAATTGAGCCATAATTACTGGAGATACAGAAGTAAGGCATACCTTGCCCTAAGGAGACAGACAAATGAACAGACACTATAAGGTTAAGTGCAACCACAGAAATATTGGCAAGGAATACAATAGGACAGAGGAGGGACTGATGGCCTGCAGCCACCTCGAATCCTTTAAAGAGCAGTTTAGTGTGTAAATAAATAAGAGGAAATAACCGTGGTAGGAGAGGGATGTAGGAACAGTGAATGCTGTCATGTAACTAAATGTGGTTTTGTAATGCTTTATTTCCCAAAATACAGGTATTTATTTGAACTGAAGGAAGACGATGATGCATGTAGAAAAGCCCACCAGACGGGAGCATTTTACCTCTTTCATAACCTGGCTCCTCTGCTTCAGCCATCAGAACATCAACACCTGCCCCCCCAGCTTTGCCTATTGGGTAAGCCCGGAGTGAGCCCGCAAAGCAGACCAACCTGCGCCTCTAAGCAGAATTCAGTCCATAGTGAATCCCTGAGAAGGATCCTCCAAGTGTAGAGTCCAGGTTGTTTCAAGTTCTCTGCCAATTAAATACTTAGTGTATACACCTATGTTGCCCAGGAAACTGTTAGTTAGTGATGGTATGAACCAATACTACCTTAAACCAGGAGTAGGCTAAAGTGCTGTCCAAATTGGAACCCCTTACATTTTGTAAATAAGTTTTCATTGGGCCACAGCCACACTCATCTATTTATTCTAGAAGGCTGTCTGTGGCTGTTTTCCCGTTATAATGGCAGAGCAGAGCTGACAGAGCTTAAAAACCTAAAAGATTTTTGCCAACCCCTGCCTTGGACTGGTGATTGCCAGCCTCCATGGAGTTGCACCATGTCTTACTGGCCAGGATTTGCATTGTGACTTCATTTCTCCTACAAGGGTCAAAATTAATAGTGAATTAATGTAACTAGAGATATCTGAACTATTGGGATTTGGCTTTCAAGATACTAAGTTTCCGTTTTCTATGATGTCACTATACACTGACTAACTTCTAAATACGTCGCCAGTGAATTGCCTTCATGGGTCGGATGTTGGAGACCTGGATAGGCAGTTTACAGCACTGCAGAATATGAGGATGCCTCGGAAGGCACATTTAGGGATGTAGCAATGCCCTGCGGTATTATGAACAAACAAATAGGAGTTGTACATGCACAAGGTAGGTTTCCTCCTTATGCAGCACTTATGTTATACATACTGGGGTCTCAGATGACTATTCTACTCTGCCCCACAAAAACAGCAAAACCTGTTTTTGCGATTATAGAACTGATTTTGTCTCTACCATTTTAAATGTGACACATTTTTCCCCCCTTTGCCATAATAACTATCATAAATCTTTTGAACTGGAAATATGCTCTTTGTGATACAATCATAGATTAATACACGGCTATGCAGAAAGAATTCCTTTTATAGTCTACAGTCCTCAGATTGCTGACGAGAAAACGGAGGCTTAGAGGTTAAGGGATTAGACCACGCTTACGTAGCTAATGAGCTGCAGGGCGGCACCTGGCAGCCAGGTGCACCTACTTGAAGCTGGAGTGTCTGCTCTCGGTAAGTTTAAGATGGCTCTGGTGGTTTAATTAAGGCCCTTGTTTTTTCCCTTCTCCTTCTGTTTCGTAGAGTTGGAAAAGCTCCTGGGTAAATTTGGCCAGGACACACAAAGAATAGAAGATTCCGTGCTGATTGGATGCTCCGAACAGCAGGAAGCATGGTTTGCTCTGGATCTAGGTCTAAACAGCTCCTCTTCCGCACATGGTACACATCTCCCTAACGGGTGTTTCCCTGCTTCTCAGACTTTGTGATTTTACGTGATAACAAAATAAAATAAAATTTGGGAATACACAATTATAAACTTTATATTTTAAGTTAGAACATAAAAAAGACACTACCAGACGGCGTGGCTCAGTGGTTGAGTGTCAACCTATGAACCAGGAGGTCATGGTTCGATTCCCGATCAGGGCACATGCTTGGGCTGCTGGCTTGATCCCCAGTGTGGGGCATGCAGGAGGCAGCCGATCAATGATTTTCTCTCATTGATGTTTCTCTTTCTCTCTCCCTTGCCTTTTCTCTCTGGGGGGGGGGGTGGGGGGGGGAGACACTGCCATCTACTATCATTTAAAAAAAATTTTTTTAATACTTTCTAAGGTAGATGGTGGGCACAAAGATGTTCATTCTATTATTCTCTGTATCTTTATACATTTGTCATAAATATTTCCTAAGAAGTGATTTTAAATTTGACATCATCTTTGTATCTCTTTTCAATGCAAATGAAAAACTGTTACCTTGAAGTCGCTTCGGGTCTGCAGACCTGCATTCGGGAGCCAGCCTGCTGCAGGCTTAGGGCTCCTCTGAGGCCTTTCTTCTCTCCTCGGGTGTGGATGCAAATGGGATGGTGCGGAATGAGGCTCAGAGAGGAGTCTCGAGGTCCCATCTCTTTTTTCCAGGGAGAGTGTATGGCTAGTCCAAATGTTCTTATTGCCCTGAAGACAATCTTGTGAAACAACACTATGCTGGTCCCCAAATTTGCCTGAACATGAGAATCACCTGGTACTTGTTAAAACTAAAGATTCTGGCCTCACTCACCTGCTGTTCAGAATCTCCATGTGGGGGCCTTGAGAGCTTGTATATAAAGAGTGTCCCCAAAAAATGTACACACAATTTAACAGCTAATTTCTACATTTTGAAAATGAAGTGTATTTTAATAAACACTGCCTTTATAATTACTCAATTATATTATATTATATTATATTGAATAATATAATTATTAAATAATTATAAAGGCAGTGTTTATTAAAATACATTTCATTTTCAAAATGTGAACTATCAGCTGTTAAAGTGTGTATACTTTTTGTGAACATCCTATATATTGATTTTTGAGAGAAACATTAATTTGTTGTCCCATTTATTTACACATTCATTGGTTGATTCTTTTTTTTAAAATATATTTTATTGATTTTTTTTTACAGAGAGGAAGGGAGAGAGAGCGAGCTAGAAACACCGATGAGAGAAACATCGACCAGCTGCCTCCTGCACACCCCCCAATGGGGATGTGCTCGCAACCAAGGTACATGCCCCCGTCTGGAATCAAACCTGGGACCCTTCAGTCCGCAGACCATTGCTCTATCCACTGAGCCAAACCGGTTTCGGCCATTGGTTGATTCTTGTATGTGCCCTGACCAGGGATTGGACCCAAAACCTTGGCATATCAGGGACGACGCTCTAACCAAGTGAGCTGCCCAGCCAGGCGAGAATCTGCGTTTTTTATTTCCCAGCTGAGTCTCATTAGGCGAGTTTGGGAACACTGTTGTGACTGGATATATCGGAGGAGGGCCCCCAGGCAGTTGGACAGTTGTTTCATTTCATTCTCTTTTCTAACTTCCTAGCTTCCCTACCGAAACCTGAAATGGAGACGGAGCTCCAGGGGTCTTTCACTGAGCTGCGGAAGGCTCTCTACCGGCTGAACGTGAAGGAGGCCTCCTTGCTGACCACGGTAGGTTCTGACTCCTCCGTTCGTAGGAAACAGTAAAGCAGAGCATGAGGGCAAATGCATGCAGCGCAACCCAGGCGAGAGCTATGTGCAGAGTCTCGTTCTTCCTGCGAACCTGGCAGGAGGACAACGTGCTGTGGGAAAGTGCTTGTTCCTCTTCCCTCTGCCCTTGTTTCCGGCAGGCAGGATTGCCATCAGGAACGTTTCCCCCTGAGGACATGCCCATCTGAGGCAGCCATCAACCTCCTCAATGTGTGCAGTGGCCCACAGGCGTTTTGTTTTTCCTGTGAGAAATTATCTTTTACTGCTTTGACTCATCCTCACAGCTTTACACTTCATTTGCTAAAGTGCTTTTGATTATCCATTAAATTTAGATATATCTCTAAACATTTTTTATTTGTAAAAGCATTCCAACTTTATTGAGGAGGAACACATGTTGGAATGTTAAACTTTATTGAAAGTGTCTTATTTTTAAGCTGGGCCATAAGTACAAGGGGTGTTTAATACTTTATATATCACGTATTTTTTAAATAATTCATAATATACTTGGCCTACACTTTTATCCACGCTTCAGATGATGGAGGAATATGTTCAATAGCTTCCTTATTTTAAAGGTTAGACAGTAATAAACCATTTAAAATAGAGGGACTGAAAAGGCACTGGCATTTCCCTCCGAGCCCAGCACTGTCCCAGATGAGCCGGCGCTCTCACACGAAACCAAGTGCACCTTGCATTCCTAGGCGCAGGCTCTCCTCCGCTGGCACGATGCTCACCAGTTCTGCAGCAGAAGCGGGCAGCCCACCAAAAAGAACGTGGCTGGCAGCAAGCGTGTGTGCCCTTCCAACAAGATCATCTATTACCCGCAGGTAAGGACGGCTCTGGAGGGACAGGAATCATCCAAGAAGCTCTCCAGGCTGTGCTGGGGATGGGAGCCTGTACAGGCTTTCCTCAGGGATTCACTCGTCATCCTACTTACAGGCTCCATAGCCCGGTGTCTAAGCTGCCACCCCCTTTCCTAGATGGCTCCCGTGGTGATCACTCTGGTGTCGGATGGGACTCGATGCTTGCTTGCCCGCCAGAGTTCCTTTCCCCAGGGGATGTACTCTGCCCTGGCAGGTTTCTGTGACATAGGTAAGGACTTAGAGACACGACAGCATATCGATGGTAGTTATTTCTCTGTGTTGCTGTCATAGTGCTTGGAGCCTCAAGCACCTTCTTCCCTGTCAAGAAAACGGCCCCTGGCGTTATAATTTTCCATATTTTACAGGCAAACTTTCACACGTGCAGCATAGTTGAAAGAACTAATCAGTGAAAACCCATACACTCACCACTCCCTAAATATTTCAACATGCATAATATTAACTAGAATTAATATTTATTTACAGGTGTGTTTTCTCAGCCTATTGGGGTAAAATTCGAAAATGGCGGTATGTCACATTAGAATTTTATTAAAACTGACGACAGCAGTAACCACTCCCACTGCCACTCCTATTTTGTATTATAACTACCCTAGTAGGTTTAAGTATCGCAGTTCAACACCCAACTTTAGACTTGATTTCTAATGTTGTAGAGACTCAGAGATTTTAGGCTCTCCCAAGAGTCTTTTCATTGAAGCTACGGAGCCCATTTTGTGCTCTTTCACAAATGGGCGTCTGTATCACCCCTCCTGCTGCAGGGCTGTCCTGAATTAATCTGAGTGCTTGTAGGTGAAACTCTGGAAGAGACTGTCCATCGAGAAGTTGCAGAAGAGGTGGGACTGGAGGTGGAAAGACTGCAGTACTCTGCATCCCAGCACTGGCCCTTCCCCAATAGCTCACTCATGATTGCTTGTCACGCAATTGTGAAACCAGGGCAGACAGAGGTAAGTGCTGCGTCCCTTATGCTCTGACATTCCCTTGCCTCATCTAAGCTTGTCAGTAGGTACTTACTAAGCATCTGCCTAGTCCAGCATTGTCTCGATTGTACAAATGTGTGTAAGAAATGATTTATATCTTTAAGGAATTTTCAATCTTGTAGAGAAAAGAATTACCACAAAAACTGGGAGTGCCAACATGGTCATCATTCTTCCTTGTACAAATCTCAATCACGAGACAACTTACCTTTCATCATCAGGACTTAACAGAGCATCTCGCATAGATTAGGCAAATCATATATCAAATTTAATTATTGATGTCAAGGTTGATCTTATTGCTCAAGTCAGTCAGGATGTTGAGCACTGATAATTATTGATAATTATTATCAATTCCATAATAATAATGATTATAGGAACTTCTAGTTGAAAGGGACTTAGAGATTGTCTTATCCAACCTCATCTTCTATAGCATCCCTTACAGATGGCATTGTGGTCCCTATCTACCAAAATCCGTCTATTGTGTTTTGGTTTCTATGGAATGAATACTATCTAATCTGCCTCACCTTCCTGTAGATTCAGTTTGTACTACTTTGCTCCTTGCAAAGAAGATACAATGATTTTGATGATCATTAATTAACCTTTACCTTTTAAAGAAGAAAAACATTTGTATGTTTATATGAGCAATAGAGGCACAAAGCAAAACAACTATTATTCATAATCAACCCCTCTATGCTACTCACTCTTAATATTTTAGTATTTGTATTTCTAGGTTTTTACTATTAAAAATATATTTAACTCTCATCTCTTACATGTGCCTCTTTTGCTTCTGGGCAATATCTAGAATTGATTTGTTCCCAGCCTATGGATCCCAGGTATTATCTTCTAAGATTGCTCAGTTCTAGAACTGTTTTCTCACCTTTAGCTATAGAATTCTAACTTTCGTAGCTCCCAATCTTACATTCTGTTTTTCCTTATGTCTTTCAGATCCAGGTGAACTTGAAAGAGCTAGAAGCAGCTGCCTGGTTTAGCCATGAGGAGGTGCTCGCAGCCCTGAAGAGGAAGCACCCATATGCTCAGCAACAGGATGGGACTTTCCCATTCTGGTTGCCCCCTAAGTTAGCCATCGCCCATCAACTGATTAGGGAGTGGGTGGAAAATCCAACCTGCCCCTCCCTGCCTGCTTAGCTCAGATCACCTAGGCCCCTCCTCAGGATGGCACATCACAGATCTGTTGAGAAGGGGGAGGTGACAAAGGCCATATCCAACCAGATTCATGTTAAGGCAGAGAAGGTGAGCCTACAGCGAGACACCTCTGCCAGCAGAGTTAATGAAAGAGGTTCCTACTCCATCGCAACCAAAAATGCCAGCGTGAGAAAACAAATGAGATGGCAACTGGCAAAATTGGGAAGTTGAAGCTTTATTTGAGATGTGGGCCCTTGTTTACCCATTTTCTCTGAGGCCTTGGGAGTAACATCTTTTGGCGTGTGGCTTGTTAATGCTGGGTTTATATCTAACTGCCAAAATGAGCCTGGCATAATTTTGGTTAAAACTTGTATCTGGCCCTAACCGGTTTGGCTCAGTGGATAGTGTTGTCCTGCGGGCTAAAGGGTCCCAGGTTCGATTCTGGTCAAGGGCATGTACCTTGGTTGCGGGCACATCCCCAATATGAGGTGTGCAGGAGGCAACTGATCGATGTTTCTCTCTCAGTGTTTCTAACTCTTTTTTTAAATATATTTTATTGATTTTTTACAGAGAGGAGGAGAGAGGGATAGAGAGCTAGAAACGTTGATGAGAGAGAAACATTGACCAGCTGCCTCCTGCACACCCCCCACTGGGGATGTGCCCACAACCAATGTACATGCCCTTGACTGGAATCGAACCTGGGACCCTTCAGTCCGCAGACCGACGCTCTACCACTGAGCCAAACCGGTTTCGGCAGTGTTTTTAACTCTTTATTCTTCTCCCTTCCTCTCTGTAAAAAATCAATAAAATATATTTAAAAAAAAACCTTTTATCTGAGTAGTGAAAATATGTAGCAAATCTCAACCCACTTAATTACTTTTTATCCTCATAGAGTTAAGCACAATATAACATTTTTAAAATCATGTACAGGTAATTATTTTGTTCATGGTAGTTAAATAGGAGTCCTGTTTAAGTCACCCGAGGGATGCAGAAGGTGGGAGCTAAGGTCTTCCGCAGGGGCCTCAGTAATAAATCAGGTGCAATGAGGTTCTGCTGAGGTAACTGCAAAGTGGTCAGTCTTTTTTTTTTTTTTTTTTTTTTTTTTTTTTTTTGCTGTTACTGCTCAGTTTGTAACGTAAGGCAGTGATTGTCACTTTGCCATTCCTGTTTCCCTCAATGTGAAATGGTTTCTGCTATTTGCGTATCCAGTAAGTGTCGTAACAAACCAGGGGATTAGGGAGCATGAACCATTTCTTGAATTGTATGGGATAAACTAAGTTTAGGAATTCTCATCATTCATATATGCCATTTCATACCTTGTCATAGGGAAGAAGAGTTTATCTGGAGGAAATAAAAGAAGTTTACATACCTCTGTTTAGATGTATTTTTCTGTCTTATGAAGAGAGGAAAGTGCAGAAAGTGAGAATTTGGAGGGGGCAGGAGAAAGGGAATCTGTATTAGTGTGACAAGTGTTTAAGTCAGGTTCCAAGTCTGGGGAACAATTGACGCAATGTGCAGAAGAACCCTGCCGGAGGCCAGTTTGAAAAGAAGAATGGATGTCTGGGGAAAGAGCTGTACCCTCAGATGATTTCAGGCACTAACATTAAATATGAGTGCCAAAACCCGAAGATTATGCATACATCAAAGTTCCACAGGACTAAGAAAAAGCTAGAACTAGAAAAGTTGAAGCACTGAATTTCCTATTGAAAAAAGTCATTGCTGTCACACTGCAAACCATCATTGCTTTGGAAATCGAAGTACCTTCACCAGGAAACGCTGAGGGATAAAATGAGATGGGACTTGATTGTCCTGCGAGATTGGCAGCTTGCTCTGGCCTGAGCTGAACCCACATGTAGAAGGGAAAAGCACTCTCGAAAGAGAAGTCCCGAGATTTCCCCTTATCTTGCAGTCAGAAGAAAACAGTTCAGGGTCCATGTGTATTACCATCTCCCAATCTTTTCTATCTCCATGTGGGTGTGTTTGTGAGCACATGTGTACACATCCCTAGTCTGAAAATACAGGATAGAGAGGGGAGGGTGCATGTTTCTCAAATTTACTGGGGAGTAACTGTTTGCTTTTGGATTAATGTGTTGTTTTGGAAAAGAAAAGATGAGAGTGGCTCACAGGAGAAGCTGCACCATTGAACTTTGTTTTCCCGGCAATGAGTGGGAAGAGAGCTTTGCTAGTCAGAACTCCAAGGATATCTGAAAGTTGAGGCTAAAGAGGACAAGGTTAGGATGCTGCAATTGACATAAGCAAAAGGAACTTTGGTGCAGGGCTTACCTGGCTGGAGAATATGTATGTGGCAATTAATGATGAAGGTGCTAAGGATAAAAAGAACCCACTGGGTCTATGAAGTAGAATAGTAAAAACAAGTTAAATATTAAAATCAGTGTATTTGTCACCAGAGTGATCCTGGCTCAAGGTCATTCCAGGTAACTGGAATAAAAAAGCAACTCATTTAAAGCAGCTAAAAAAAATAAAATTGAAGATGAATTACCACTAAAATGAATATTTTCATTTTAATATTTCTAATTTACTAAATATTAAAGTAGAATTCTGAAAGATGAGACAGAGGGCGGGAGACCAGGACACAGGCTTTATTGGAGAAGGAACCCTGCCGGCCTGCCTCCCAAAGAAGGAGAGCACACATGCCGGGGTGAAGGTGCCTTTTGAGGGGAGGAAAGGGAAGGGGTGGGGCTTAGGGCACTCACTCAGCACACGCTGATCGGTGGTTTCATGTAAGGCATGTGATTAGGGACCTAGAGACTTAAGAATCAGGGGCTTAGGGTATTTGGCAGGTGCTGATTGGTGGTTCAATGTGCAGTCCATATAAGGTGCCTGGTTAGGTGTTCAGGAATGTTTGGGCTGCAGGTGGAGTTTATGTCATCCTCCATCCATTTGTTGGGGGAAGGAAGGATCTATCATTCCAGGCTTTTGGGAATATTTTAAAATATATATATATTTTATTGATTTTTTACAGAGAGGAAGAGAGAGGGATAGAAAGTTAGAAACATCGATGAGAATCATCAATCAGCTGCCTCTTGCACCCGCCCCCTACTGGGGATGTGCCCACAACCAAGGTACAGACCCTTCAGTCCACTGAGCCAAACCGGTTTCGGCTGGAAATATTTTTTAAAAATTGAGAGTCCGGGCAAGGTCAGGGGGTGAAGGTCCATCTTCCGTAGCTACTTCCTTTATAATAATTTGCATTATTCAAAAAATTCTCTCAATATGGTGTCCCTCAAAAAATGTATACACACTTTAACAGTTGATAGCTCAATTTTGAAAATGAAATGTATTTTAATAAACACTGCCTTTAGAATTATAAAAAAAAAAAAGCAACTCATTCATTCTTTATTTTTTACTACCTTCCTTTCTCTACTCAACATTTAGTCCTCAATAAATATAAACAATGCTCTAAACATGGCATATGTAACTTCTTCTCACTTAAAACCTGTGCAGCCTCTGGGAGATCACAAAGACCCTGGCAGAGAGGAGAAGTCAACCTGTGAAACTTGTAATGAAGAAATATGTATTTTAAAATATATATATATTTGTGTGTGTGTTTTTTATAGAGAGGAAAGGAGAGGGAGAATCAAAAATATCGATGGGAGAGAAACATCGATCAGCTGCCTCCTGCATGCCCCCTACTGGGGATGTGCCTGCAACCAAGGTGCATGCCCTTAACCAGAATCAAACCAGGGACTCTTCAGTTCGAGGGCTGATGCTCTACCCACTGAGCCAAAGCGGGTAGGGCTGAATAAATATTTTTTACTAAATGAGTACTCTAAACTAGAAAGGAGCACACTCAGGTTCAATATTTATTTAAGGAGAGAAAGGACAGGCTGGATGTGCTGGTTAGTCTTTCGCGGGCTTACTTGCGGGCCTGGGATCCGTGTTGTCCGGCAGCTGCACGCCCATGCTTTGTAAGAGGTTGGAAGCAGGTCCGGCCAGCCCCGCTTGGGAGCTATACGATTCCAGGATGTTTGAGACCAGGTTTAGGTCTACGTCTACTGGTGTCATCACAGCTCCTCCTGCACCAGAATCGTCCTCATCTGAATTGCTCTTGGTAGCCTGGGCTACAGATTCCTTGTTCATGGAGGGAAAGAGAATCATGGGATAATATGTCAACAGGTTGTGGTAGTTACAATGCAAAGCTAACCAACGATGTAAAATTGAATTCCAAATTATCTTAATAGAAAGTAAAAACGAAGTCTAATAAACTATGTAATTTAACACATACGTTAAAATTTCGTTCCAAAGATTATACTACACTTTTTTCGAGTAATAGTTTCTACAAATTGAATGACTTTCTTCCCTATTTTGAAAGAGCCTAAAGGAGATAAGCAGGGTAAAGACATACATTTATAGGGTGCCTAACAGTTTAAAAAAAATAAACATTAAAAACATTTTCAAAAAGAATCTACATTTTTTTTCTAAGAAAAAGAAACTAAATTTTCCTTTTTCCCAATGAAAAAGCAAAGTAAAAACCTGACGCTGAACCACAAAGACTCTGAACTGTTCCTGGAGCCTCTGAGTTCACAGGCTTGGGGGAGGATTTGAAAGATGCAACGTGACCCACTCAACGTGGTCCATGTGCACCGCTTCAGCTCTTTAGAAACGTAAAAGCTGAGGCCACGCTCCAGACATACTTAACCAGTGTCTGTAGTTTAATATGGTGAGGTGGCTCAGATCACACTACCACTTAAGAAACCTGCCTTAAATAACTCTAATGTATGGTTTCTATTAGGTTTTGGCAATATTAAAAGTGGTTATAATTTTAAATGTGGTTTAAATGATCAAAGCAAGGGAATAACATTAAGGTCCATTATGGGTTTTACTGTTGTCTCATTTGGTTCTATGACATGAGGATTATTTGTCAATGGATAGTCACAGTGGATGGCTGAAATGGATTTCAAACACTCATCCGTGAGATGCCTCTTTGTCTAGTGTTAGTGCTGGTATAATCAGTAGGATCAAAACACGACTAGGAGATGAATTCTACATTTGGCTCTAAATTTAGGAAACTTACAAATCAAATACTATTAAGACTTGAAAAATATTTGGATATTTAGAGACATTTCTCCTTTAAAAAAAAAAAAAAATCAATGGCTGAAACCAGTTTGGCTCAATGGATAGAGCGTCGGCTTGGGGACTGAAGGGTCCCGCGTTCAATTCCAGTCAAGGGCATGTACCTTGGTTGCGGGCATATCCCCAGTGGGGGGTGTGCAAGAGGCAGCTGATCAATGACTCTCTCTCATCGATGTTTCTGACTCTCTATCTCTCTCCCTTCCTATCTGTACAAATTCAATAAAAATATATTTTAAAAAAATCAATGTAAGCTCTTAATCGTAGTATCACATACTAATTTCAACACATCACATGATATTATTTCAAATCCTGATAAATAACAGAGTAATATAATTAAGCTTATTTTAGGAAAATAAAGTTAATAATCCATCATCCAACCAGAGTAAGGAAAAATTAGCAATCTGGTTTATTTCAAATAAAAAAAATCCAATTATCACAAACAAGAAAAAAACCACAAGATAAAATATGTTTTTAGCTGTCCTTTGTAATAGACTCAGAAAGGGAAAGAAGTTAAATACACACATACCATTTGCTTCTGGGTGGCGAAACTTTTGCCAATGCTGGTATGTGCCAGTTCCCGGTCCATCTGGGCCATGTATGACTTGAGATCATCCAGTGTTCCTTTTACAGATGCTTCTTCCCCGGACTCCTGTGTTTCAAAATCCAAGTCATCATCACTTTCTAAGCTTTCAAAGTCTTCCTCATCCTGGTCATCAGAGTCCGACTCAGGAGGCCTTGGTCCTACACCCCAACATAGAAAATGCCACTTGGTAAAAAATGTTTTGAGTGATTACACCTTTCAAAAGACTTAGAAAATTATTTGCAGAAAAGAACCAATATACACAGGCAAACTCCTTCACAAAAATCACTTCCAGAAAATGGTGCTGTTGGTAGGTATTTGTAGAAAAGTACACAAGCTGAACTGAAAGATTCAACTCTTTTTTTAAGTGAATTAGTTCACTATAAAATAAAAGCTATGATATGCATGAATAGATTTTGTAAAAATATTTTTTTTAGTAATTTCAGAGAGAAAAGGAGAGAGAAAGAAACATTAATAAGAGAGAATCATTGATGAGATGCCTCTTGCATGCCCTCTACTGGGGATCCAGCCCACAACCCAAGCATGTGCCATGACCAGGAATTGAACTGTGACCTCTTGGTTCACAGGTCAATGCTTACTCAACCAATGAACTACACCAGCTGGGCTGCATAAATAATTTTGATGTGAACATTCAAGCCATACAAAGTTCCTGTCTCGGCAGGCCAGTGGCATGCACATGGGTTGCTCAGAATTACTGCCTCACATTTCCCTCTCTTCTGAGTTAGGCATCTAACATCAAGACGGCAGGAATTCTTGTTGAAAGCAATTCAAAATTATGAAGAGAAAGCATTGTTTTGTCTTCCGAGAAATCTAATGCTCCACTGCCCACCCATACTACTTAGTTTTAAAATGAAAACAAACATCACACTGTAACTTACCTAAAATCTTATCAAAGTAATTAAGAAAAGAATCTGCATCAAAAGTGACTGGAGTTTCAGAAGGGTCTCTGCAAAATTAAAGGAAGAAAACAATTTATCTAGAACTTAACTCTTTGAAACTTTTTTTCAAGTCTTATTCTTAGGAACACTACTAGAGATACAACCTCAAAAGAGGTGCAACAAGGAAAACTGGTAGTTTAAATTTTATTTACTTTAAAATATATATATTTAAATATATTTTTATTGATTTCAGAGAAGGGAGAGGGGAGAGATAGAAACATCAATGATGATAGCGAATCAGGAGAGAGAGAAAATAGAAATATTAATGATGAGAGAGAATCACCGATTAGCTACCTCCTACAGGTCCAGGACTGGCTGCAACCAGAATTAAACCTGGGACCCTTCAATTTGCAGGCTGACACTCTAGCCACTGAGCCAAACCAGCCAGGGCTAAAATATATTAAAATAAATATATTTTAACCAATATAAATATATATATATTGATTTCAGAGAGGGAGAGGGAGAGAGAGAGAAAAATCAATGATAAGAGAAAATCATTGATCGGCTGCCTCCTGCACACCCACTACTGGGAATTGAGCCCACAACCTGGGCATGTGCCCTGACCAGGAATCAAACTAGTAACCTTCTGGTGCCTGGGCTGATGCTCAACCCACTGAGCAACACCAGCTGTGCAGCAGTTTAAATTTTAAAAATCCTTATACTTACTGGTCTTGCAGGGCAACACAAATGGGAAAAACTGATAGAATCAAAGTAAAAATTGCACTTTGTTTATGCACATTTAACTTAAGTTGATTTAAGGATCTACCCACCCATTTCAAACTCCTATAAGATATAGCCAAAAAAAAAAAAGTTCTCTTTAAGA